GAACCAAACCCCAAGGAACAAATTACCTAGGCCACTGACCTTCTGGAAACTGTTGCTCTGGGGCTCTCTTCTCAAAGTCTTTTACCTTTAAAATCTTCAGACTGCAAAAAGAGGCCTTCTGCTGGTTCTCTAGGTACCCTCAGGCCTTATTTTCTACTGACCTCTTCCTCTTCAGGAACCAAGTTCTCCTCTGCCCCATCATTGTAATCTGCCACTTTACCAAAGTTCTTTTTCTTTCTGATCAAAGTCAAAATGTTTTAAGCCATTCTGATAAGGTTCTTTGCTTTTGAATTTCAACACAATTCAGGCTCAAAGCCCCCAAAAGTCACAGGCCACCGCCTCAATATTACATTGTCTTGAAATTTCTTCTGCCAGATTATTTAGTCCATTGCCCTTAACCTCAGTCACAGGCAAAATTTCTGGACCAAGAGCAAAATGCAGATACATGTTCTGCCAAAGTATAACACACATGGTCTAGAGTCTAACAGCCAATGCATAAAGCCTTCATACCTACATAAAGCCTTCTGTGCCTGGTCTTTACCAGCTGCGTTTCTATCTGACCAAAATTTCCCATCAACATATGGATTTCAGGACTGCTTCTTCAGCCAGCATCTGCAAACCTTTCTAGACTCTTCCCATAAACCAGTTCTAAAGTTGGCTGAACCACATCAGTTGGTAGCATCACAACAACAGCCCTCTTCTCTGGTACCAGAAATCTCTCTTAGTTACTTTCCTTTTGGCTGGAACAAAATACCCTGACTCCCAAAGTTAGCAAAGGAAAGACTTATTTCAGTTCACAGTTAGTGGGTGTTTTAGTCCATAGTCAGTTGGCTCTGAAGCACAGCATAGCAGAGGGGCATCACAGAGGAGAAACAGTTCATGGTGTGGCTGGCAGAAGACAGCAACAACAGATTGCCTTCTTCGATTCTTCTGGACCATCTGTTGCTATCTCTTCAATTTAGAGGAGAGTGGAAAAGGAAAATGTCAGGCTACTGATGGCCTAGTGCTGTTACTACCTCATTGTCTTAGTTACTTTATGCTCATTGCTGAGACAAAACACCTGAAGCCCAAAGTTGGGAAAGGAAAGGTTTATTTCTTACAGTTTTTGGAGGTTTCAGTCCACACTCAGTTGGCTCCAAGACAGGCAGGCGGGCATGGCTGGACCGCAGTTCATGGCAGCCACCCACAGCAAGCTCGAACCAGCAAAGAGAAAGACACACCTTCTTCCTGCTATTACATCACATCCTGGCTCCACCCCTATGTGGGTGGAGCACTGACATCATCAATCCAAGCACTATACAATGAACCATCACAAATGAACAATGCAAACTCATGAGGCCTGGGGACACAAACATAAACCATGACATTCTACCCCTGGCCCCCAGGACTCATGTACATCCTTTATACAAAGGACATTTAGTCCACCTCCAAGAGGTACCAAAGTCCTAACAGCTTCAACATTGCTGAAAAGTCCAAGTCCCAAGTCTCCTCCAAGATCTATGGCAAACTCTTAACTGTAAGCCCCTGTACAAAAGAAACAAGGTTAAACATTTCTGAAATGCAAAGGCACGAGATAAACATTACCATTCCAAAAGTTACAAACAGGAGAATATAAAGCATTGGAAACAAAGCAAGTCCAACATCCAGCAGGGCAAACATTAAGTCCTAGAGTTCTACATTCAGGATCTGAAGCAATCTGGTTGCAAGTTCCAAAAACCTTGGGTGATTCCACCCCCAGGGCACTTCCAGCGATTTCAACTCCCACAGCTTTTCTCTTAAATCTTCTCTGCTCGCTTTTTGCAGCTTCCCTTGGATCATCCACATTCCTGGCTTTTCCAAACTTCTGGGGTCTCCACAGCACCTTCGGCTTCACACTTACATCTTCACAAATTGCCCTCTCAGGGGCACACTGCATGACCAGCTGGGCCCTTTGCAATCGAGGTGGAAGCCTTCTTACCCTCAGAATTTGTGCATTTTCCTTGCACCTAAAATCAGCACCTTGTGGATGCTGCCAAGGTTTGTTGCTAGCTGAAGTGGTAGCCAGGCTTTTCTCTCTCTTGGCTGTAGAGGTCAGTTGCCTGGATTGCAAGGCTCTGTTTACCTGATTGTGCAAAAAAGCTTCTCTGTGTTGCTGCCATTCTGGAACCTCACGTGGCCTCTTTCGCCATTCTGGAACCTCACTTGGCTTTTGTTGCCATTCTGGAGCATGGCACTCTATAGCTTTTTCCTCTGAGCAAAATTTTTCATCTTTGCTGTGAGGCTGCGCAGGGTGGGGACCTGCTTCCTGGGATGCCCAGGGCCATCTTTCTTATCTCTCTGTTTCTCCTCAGGAACCAAAATCTCAACTCTGTCTTTACAATCCACACCCTTCCTAGAATTTTCCTTCTGGCCAAATTCACAGCATTGTAAATTATCCTCCTGGGCTCTTTGCTCTCCATTTGAAACATACAGCTGGCTGAAAGCCCCTAACAATAGCCATGCCACAGCCTCAATGTTCAATTGCTTTTTAATTTCTTTTTCAAGATTAATCAGTCCATTGCCCTTTGTCTCAGTCTTAGGCAAAGTCTCTGGGCAGGAGCAAAATGCAGACAAACTTTTTGCCAAGCCATAACACACATCATGTGGAGTCCAATGACCAATGCAGTCATTCCCAGCAGAAACCTCCCAAGCCTGGTCTTTACCATGAGGCTTTTTATCAGCCTTCTGGTCTCCTGAGCTCTGACCAGAATCTCCTCTACAGAACAGCCTAAGCTGTTCCAGCTCTATGCATCCAGGTGACATATCCAAACTTTTCCAAACTCCACCCACAAGCCATTTCCAAAGCCTCTTGAGAAACATGGCCAGGTATAGTCACAGCAAAGGACCCCACTCCTCAGAACCAAATTCTGTCTTAGTTACTTTATGCTCGTCGCTGAGACAAAATACCTGAAGCCCAAAGTTGGGAAAGCAAAGGTTTATTTCTTACAGTTTTTGGAGGTTTCAGTCCACACTCAGTTGGCTCCAAGACAGGCAGGCATGGCTGGACTGCAGTTCATGGCAGACAGCAAGCTTGAACCAGCAAAGAGAAAGACATACCTTCTTCCTGCCATTACATCACATCCTGCTCCACCCCTATGTGGGTGGAGCACTGACACCATCAAGCACTATACAATGAACTATCACAAATGAACAATGCAAACCCATAAGGCCTGGGGGACACAGACATAAACCATGACAGTAGAGGAGTGCAGTCACAGTGATAACACTCTTGAAAGAGGTGACTCCCAGGAGGGGAAGAAGATGATGCAGTTGAGATGGAGTAATTTAGAATGTTTCAGGACATACATTCCACTAGATATAGGAAGAAGCCTTCAGAAACGGGCTGTTATGGCTTGTGGTTAGATGTCCCCCTAAAGCCTCACGTGGTCGGAGGTGGGGCTTTTCACAGCTGGCTGGATCTAGGGCATGTGATACTGGGATTAACACTCTGTGGTACCAAATTAGTCCTCTGACTGGAATTAGCATAGTTCTGGATGTGGATAAAGGGAAGGCTGACTCAAAGGCTTGTGGCTTGGATGGAATAAAAGGTCTGTACCCACTCTCAATAAAGTAATGGCGGGTATGTGTCATCTACTCCTTACAAGGCAGGGAAGGTGCTTATTCCAGAGGAAGGAAGTTTTGGGTAAAAGATGAGGGTAGCAGCAGCACAGGCCATTACTACTCTCTTCTGGCATTTTCCTTTTCCATTCTCCTTTAAGACGAAGCATTAGCAACAGATGGTCCAGAGGAATCTTAGTAGGTCTTCAGCATCTGGGAAATTAAAAACATGCACATACTCTCTGCATTGGAGAGAAGGTGCAGGTAAGAAGACTTGAATTGTTATTGTGGGGCCCCCCACGTCCCCCTTGGATAGTACAACTGAGAAAGCAGACATACCTAAATCAGGAAACCTCATGCAGACACCAAGCAGAGCTCTTGAGGAAGCTGTGTTTCAGCACTAAAGCTAAGCAGGGTCTGCGATACATCCTTACCTGAACACATAATTCTTAGTGTGATCCTTCCTTGCTGAAAAAAAAAAAAAATTCTGAAATAGATCTGACTTGCTCAAGCCACTTTTGGAAACAGACTATCAAAGCTTGGGCAAGGGTTCAACTATGCAAAACTCCAGTCCATTAGGATCTAGCACATGTGGGAATGATTAATGTGAACTGCTGTGTGTCATCTGGGCCATCAGTGACCAGTAAACCACAGCAAACATGGACATAAGTACAGGAAAATCCTTAAACTCTTACAGGCCACCTCTACTTTTCCAGAAGAAATTATGGCTACTTTTCCCCTTAAAAATGCACCAAGATGGGTCAGAGAGAACAACAGGAGGAGGAAGGCTCTGATTCATGGTTATCGCATCAAGAGAAGAGGGGAGGGGAGGGGAGGAAGTCAGCCTCCAAAACCAGCACGTCTCAGTCACCGATCTTGCTGTACACAAAGAGCCCCTCAAGAGCCTCTCCATTTTGTACATGACACCAGCGATCAGAATAGCAAGTCAGTTTTTTCTGGATCCAGCTCTCCAACATAAAAACCGCACATGAGGACCAACTCTCTAAAAACAAATACAAAACAAAAACAAAAGAAAGAAAAAGAGCAACTCCTTCCGCAAAACTTTTTTTTGTCTGACAGGTCTCTCTATGCAGTTCATTCTGGCCTTGGGCTCACTTTGTAGCCCAGGCTGGTCTTGAACTTGCAACGATCCTCCCACTTCAGCCTCCCAAGTGCTGGGATTACAGGGCTGCACCACCATGCCCCAGTATACCTTTCTTTACCTTTCTTAACCGCTAGACCAACCAAGTAAAACCGTGGCAAGGCCATCACTCACCCACGGAATTGGCTAGAGGCTACCTTGTCTTCTTAACTCAGTCGCCTAAAGTGACAAACACAACAGCTTACCCACAGTGTTAAATGCCTGAGCGAAAAGCAAGTGATTTGCTCCCTGCGTGCGTTTCCAAGAGAAGGCAAGGGCACCTCCTTAGGATTTAGTTTTTCCTTACAGAAACACAAGGCCAGAGGCCCGGACCAGTCTGTGCTTTGACCACCGGCGAGGCAGGCCACTTGGAGGTACCGGGGGCCAGGAAGTGCCCTTCCTGCCCCAGGCACCACGCTGCTTCCTGCCACCGGTCCCCACAGGAAGAAGAAAGAGGAAGATGCAGCAGGGCAGAGGCACGTTCTCAGAATATTATGGTCCCACCCCTGCCAGCCAACGCTGCAGCCTTGGCGGGGCTAACAGAAAGGCCTTGGCAGTTTTGAATTCAGAAGTGGATCCCCTCTGAGTAGCTGTCCAGAGAGGGGACCAGGGTGCAGGGGCGTGCCTTCAAATTCAGGCTCCTCTGCTGGGGGGACCCTCTGCTGCCTGGAAGGTGGGGTGGGAGCCAGCACCCAGCTGGGGCTCCTGCCACCTAGGGCCTGTGGGTCCCCGCAGACTAGGAACTTGGGGAGCGAGGGCGACGCCACCAAGGCTGCAAGAAGGCGGGAGCTCGTGGCCGGCCGACTGCCCAGGACTAGAGCGTTGGAGAGGTTCACATCTGCCAGTCGCTCCTAGACACAAACGTTCTGGAGCTAAACGCGAGGGTCCCGCCAGCTCCGGACAGGACACCGGCGTCAACAGGTGCGCTGCTGTCCCTCGCTCCGGGAAGCTGGCCCCGGCGCCACTGTTGTTTATAGAGCTCTCCTTGGGTGAAACCCAAAACGCAGTGAGCTGCTGCGGTCCGCGGCACTGCACCCCTCACCTGCGCGCCCTCACCTATGCACCCCTCACCTGCGCGCCCTCACCTGAAGCCCCGCGGGCGGCCTTGGCCTCCATGTTCCCAAGCTGGCTGAGCTGCGTCCGCCTCTGGGGCTGCATGGCTCCGGTTGGTCTTCCTCAGGGTTCCCCGGGGGCTGCCACCGTCCCTGCCACCTCCTCCTGGCTCCCGCACCCAGACCTCTCTTGGGACTGCCTGAGCTCCTCCCCCAGCCACCACCGAATAGTCTTAACTAATCAACCCTTGTCCCCAGGCGGTTTACAAACACTTCCTTCCACTCCCCCGCATTATTCACCATCCCCAGGCATATTTACCCCCCTTCATTTTGTTTTTGTTTGAGGGGGTGCTGCGATCCCCCAGAACACTTGTCCTGGTGGGCCTGGACTGTCAACGTGTTATACTCACTTCCTGATCCTCCTTTCTCCCCCTCCCATTTCTATTTCTAGAGACCAAAATGATTTCCATTAACCATTTTCAAGTCTGTGCCTGGCTGATCAATAGCTCTGTGATCAATAGCTCTATGAGTCAAGGGCTCACAGAAAGCAGAACCTCCAGTAATTTTTTCTGCACATTTAAAAATCTGTCCGGTTTTTTTCCCCTGAAAATTGTGATGTGCCTGTTTTGCTGATACCTAATCCTTTTATTTATTAAATGTTCAAGCTGGCACTTGCTTAAAATAGCAAAATTCAATGCAGGCATTTTTTTCCCCTGCAGTGTGCAGTATTTAGCCTGTTTGAAGGTGTTATTTTTCTGGAGGTGCAGGAATGAATTTTTCAAATGCAACAGGCAGCCAAGTGAGAAGGCTGAGGCAGGAGGGTCGCTCAGGTTCATGAGCTGAAGACCAGCCTGGACAACATAGGGAGACCCAATCTTCTGTGGGAACAGGGCTGTGGCCAGCAGCCCCTCCCCCACCGCATCCCCCCGCTGATTTTATTTATTTATTTTTTAGCATTGGCCCCTCAGGCTGGCTGCCTCCTCAGCCCTATGAGCTTCTCATCCTGGAACAGATCTGGAACTCGTGTGCCTGCTCACCTCTTCACTGTACCCCAGAGCAGCTCAGAGGAGCCCTCCAACTGCTCCCCACCCTATGCCCCACCTTCTGAACAATGGACTGCTGAATCCTAGAACTTTTCACAGGTGGGGTAGAAAATGGCTCCGGCTCTGCTGGGTCCGTGCCCCCCACCCCCCCACCCCCACCCCCCACCCCCCGTCATTCAGTGCCATGGTCCGCACCCATATTTTGGATTCCCCAGATGGGTGCCCCACCTTGAGCATCCTTGGGATCACTGCTAGAAAGCCTAAGATTCCATTTGATAAAGGAAGGAAATCTCAGTGCTTCTTGGGCAAGGGAGCTCCAAACCGCAGGTGCTCATGCAACACACATTCACCAGGCACCTACTGGTTACCCCAGATTTGAATGTTTAATTCAAGCTGAGAATCTGCTCATGTATATAGCATAAGAAATGCACCTAACAACAGCCACTTGTTCCTATGCCGTGAAGAGATACATTCTTCCCCCCCTTGAATGATCTCCTTAGCCGTATTTTAATTCCCATATGCACTGTAGCATTTTTTCCTGACAGTTTTACTGTTTCTACATAATTCTGCTCAGCTGTACTTCCTGTGCCTTATCATATGCTTGAATATCTCAAAAAGCAGATCTTTCTCATCAAATATTAGAACCAGCCAGCTAAGGATGTTGGGGGCTGCCTGATAGCTCATTTAGACTTTACTGTTGTTGTGGTTTAGATCTGGACTGCCCCCCAAAGCCTCATGTGTGCAGAGCTGGGGATTTGGGAAGGAGATTGGGAGGTGGAGGTGATGTAGCTGAAGATAGAGGCTGGTGGCTTGGTGTGACCTGGAAGGATACATCTTTCTCCAACCTCCTGCCATCCCTCTCTGCTTCCTAGCTGCCAGGGGTTGACTACTTTCTCCTGCCACCATGTCTGTTTGCCATGCTGTTTCTGCCTTGGAGCCAGCCAAGCCTGGATGAAACCATGAGCTACAAAAAAAGACAACCCCTGCTTCCCTTTAAATCGTGGGAGGCAGGTTTGTACCTTAAGGAGAAACTGACTGAAACAAACATTAAGTAGCATTACTATCTCCCCATGGAAAACACAGTCTACTTTGCTCCACTCAAGTCTGTTTTGCTTGGTTGTTTGTGTCAGTTTGTTGCTACAGTGACATAATTTCCTGCAAATAGATCTGATACATTCAATAGAGATTTATTCCGTGGTATTCCTGAGAGTTGGTGTCTATATGACGAATGGGATCTTTCTTTCATTAATTACTTTAGAATTTGTTATTGTTGATAAATAAGACTATTACCTTATGTGCGATTAATTCAGATTGCATAATTCAGATTGTAAAGTTATAAAATGTGATATCTTTAGCTGAGCAAGGTAGTAGCATGCGTGTAATCCAAGCTATCAGAGGCTGAGGTGGAAGGGTCTCTAGAGCCCAAAATTGGGAGACCATTCTGGACAACACAGTGAGGTTTCTCTCTCTCTCTCTGTCTGTCTGTCTCTCTGTCTCTCTCTCTCTGTCTGTCTGTCTCTCTGTCTCTCTGTCTCTCTCTCTCTCTCTCTCTCTCTCTCAAAAGAAAGAAAGGGGCAAAAATTTTTCAAAACCATTATTTTCTCTGTCAGTTTATTGAGATTGTTCGATCTTCTAACATACCAATTCTGTGTTTTAAAAGTTTTAAATAGCTGTTTTACAATGTTATAAAAGTACTAAATGTTTAACATTTAAATAAGTGAATGCTATCTGCAATTGAAAGATATGCTTTAGGAGAAAAATTAAAACCATGAGTGAATCTAAAAGTCTGGTATCTCCACTTATCAGAGTAAAGCTCAGTTTTGCATCCTTTCTGGTCCTGGAGCCCAACCCCACCTTGTATGAGGAGGCCATGATTACTTATTGAGCTAACAGAAATGGGGATATTGCAAACATTTGTTCTGATCAAACAAGAAAAAGTTAATAGATAACTGCTCCAGTTAGCTAATTCCTAGTAAAATCATAATCTGATAATTTTGGAAAGAAGAATGCTTGCCACATACTCAGAATGCTCTTCCGCATGAGTCTAACAAAAAAGGAAAGCAGTGAGGTTTTGGTCAAATATTCTGAATTACCTTCCTGGTAATTCCACAGTAGCCCCTGCTTATCTGCGGAGGGTTCATCCAGTGGATGCCTGAGCAGAGAATAAATAATACCATGCCTCGTGTGAGCTCTGTGTTTTCCCCCACACACAAAGCTATGGGAGCTGACTGCCTGAGAGCACACTGCAGTGAAAGAGCCAGCACGGAGGTAGGAAGTTCAGCAAAGACAATAAACATCAGAAAGCTGAGGGACAAGAATTGAGAAATCAGCAGAGGTACAACTACATCCAAATGCGAGAAGATCAATGCATACAGGTCAGCCGGTCCACTCCTCAAGGCCCCCGGGGCAGGCACAAATTCAAAAGGATATAACCCTGACCTGTGTACAGTCTCATTGGCATTGGAGTTTTAACGCTCCCCTACCCACAGTGGATCCTGGGTGCCGTGACACCTCCTCTGAGAACCTTGTATGATCAGAAACTCCCCAGGCTGCTGGGTGAGCTGTCAGGTGCCCCATTGGCCCATAACTCCCGTCAATCTCCCATAGCTCCTCCCACATCCCCAGACCCTAAAGAGACCCTGTGCCTGTCCCTATTAAAGCCCTTAGCTCTTCTCACTGGCATAATCTTGCCCTTTTTTTTTTTTGCTTCTTTTGCTTTTAATGAACATTACTGTTGCCATTCCTTTTGAGCACATTGTTTGAGATACCAAGAACTTGGAACAACTGCCCTAGGAACCTAGAGCCAGTGACAGCACCACACCTCTGACACTGGGGCTGCTGGTAAGTAAAATAAAGATGACTTGAATACAATTACTATGTCACCATGACACTCCATCTGATAACCTAGACGGCCACTAAGTGACGACGGGACAGGTAGAGTATTCAGAGTGGACACACTGGACCAAGTGGTAATTTGTATCATGGCAGGATGGAGCCAGACAGCTTGAGATTTCATGGGACTCCTCAGCATCCTGTGCAATTGAAAACATGATTTTCAGACCGCGGGTAACCTAAGGTGTCTCAAACCTAGGGAAGCAAAGCTGCGGAGGAGAAGCCACCATGATCTATCTCCTTATTTTACTGACTTTTTTATATACTATAAGATCACTATGTCAGCAGCCCCACCATGTTCTCTGCAAGGAAGACATTGGATTCTGAGGCAGAATTTTGCAAACTGTATCTCACAGCCCTAACTCAGTGCACTGCCTATTTTTGCATAGCCCAAGAGACAAAAATAGTTTATACATTGGTCAATAGTTGAGAAAAATATAAGCGGAATATTTTGTAACTTGTCCCTGTTATCTGACATTCTCACAGCACTCATAACCAATTAGAACACAGCCATATCCACTGACTTACATATCACGTAGGTTCCTCGCTTCCTCCAGCCACAGAACTGAGAGATTAATTCCACAAAGCCTAAAATATTTATGATCTGACCCTTGCAGAACTACTGCTGATCCCTGCTGTGATAAAAAGCTGAAGAGGCAAAGGAAATGGAACAGTGACTCTCAAGTTCTGCTTTGGTCCAGTGACTTTTTTTTTTTTTTAGAGAATAGTGCTTCAACAGGAAGCAATTTGGCTACGAACTGTGTGTTGACAGTAGAGATAAGGAGCTGATGTGGAATCAGAGAACTCTGACAAGGGGGAGTGCTTATATTATCATTCTTTTTGAAACAAATGCTTCGTGATGACTGATTTCTTTTCCCACCTCCCAGAGGAATCGGACAAGTTTGATTAAATTCCGTTTCTTGCAAAGTGCACGGCTGTGCAGGAGCTGTTTGTGTCCAAGACAATAAAGAAGCCCTTTTAACTCTTTTCTTGCTTAGGCAGGAAGTCACCACTTGCCAAAAGAAATTTAAAACAAATCCCAAAGTTTTATGTTTGATTCGAAATGTGAAATACTTGAGGTCCTGGAATCCTGCAGTCCTGGCAACCCACGTTTGTGGTCCCTGGTGAGAACACATGTGGACGATCGCTTGCTTTCCGGTTCACTAAAAGGGTTGCATCTTGCCCTCTTAATCCCGGAGTCAAATATGATTACAAATATTTTCCTCCGGGAATCTGACTTGTAAGGAAGATCGCTGTGATTTCTGTTACATAAAACCCGCCTTCGGGTGCCTCGTTCTTTCTCAGGCTTCCTGTATTTCATCATCCCAAAGATTGCATTTGACATCAGCGACTGTGAGAGACCATTTGTTTTTACAGTGGAAAAGAAGCAAAAGTACAGATGGCAGACCCCGAAATCCATACTTCTCTGAACTATTTTCATTTTAAAGAGTGAGAATGTGGTTGACTTTTTTTTCCAAGTGGGTATGAATACAATAGTAGGCATGAATTGTGACGATATGCACGAATTTTGTATTTCTTGGGGTTTTATTCATTACAAAATTAGGGCAAATTTTATAGCAGAATTGTAAATGAATTATGGGAAACAAAACTCTAGGACATACTCTAAGTTAAAACAGGAATGGCTCATGTCAAATTTTAAAAAACCCTTGTAATTGGGTTAAGCAGTGAAAACCTGTAGCTGCACGTTCTCAGGAGACTGAGGCAGGATTACTGCAGCCCCGTAGTTCAAGGCCAGCCTGGACACCATAGGAAGATGCTATATGGAAGAATTCTTTAGCCATAATGAAATATGAATAATCACAGCTTCCTTATCAGAAAAGGAATACTGTCCAAAACTGGAAGTCTTAGCAATTAAGGATCCTGCTTTCTCTAAGCATGATAAGTTACCACTAGTAAATACTCATTAGTGAGTGCTCGGGTCAGATTCTGGTCCTAGCAGCAACCAGATTCTGTCCCACGCCTTCTCAAACTGGCCCATCTCCTCTCGATGAGGGCAAAGCAAAGCCCTCAGGACAGAACTCATCCTGTTCCTTGAAGAGGGAGCTTTTCTCTAAAAGGAGTGGGGAGGATGCTCAAGGGAGTCTAGGGGCTGGGGGTTTACTCACAAACAGGCATTTTTGTGTTGTCCACTTCGGTTTCAAAACAAGGCACAGCACAAAGCCCTCTGCATCTCTCTCCAAGCAAGGTGGGCTCAATCTCCCAGGGCGGGTGGTGGAGGCCAGGGCGGGACCAATGCCACTTCCCACCTGTTAGCTGTCAAGAAGCCAAAGCCACCGCTGGGACCAATTAAAAGGGCCCAGAAAAGCATCAAGGTGAAGTCCAGCCCTTGGGAGCGAGCCCAGTTAAGGGTGTGCTTTTCTTTTTAAATCAGGAGGCCAATTAAGTACTGGAATCACAAGACTACTCCACATGTGGCCAGGAAGTTTAGGAGCAGCAGGAGCTGCTAACCCTGATAAGATGCTCTCAGCTGTGTCCAGAAGGGGAAAGGTGGTTATGGGATTTGTTCCTCTTATTGCACAGCTTTGGGGGGGGGGGGATTTTTTTTTTTTTTTTGTAAAAAGGAAAAAAATATTTTAATAGTATTTTCTGAAAGGACAAAGTGCTGCATAATGTGGCGTCTTCAATAGAAGAAACAGCTCCAACTGTTAGCTTTTTTGGTGACTCCAGCATACTTATCAAGAGGATGCCTGCCGACTCAGGTCACAACCGGAGCTGCAGCCAGGACCCAGCTCCCCATTTACCCAGAAGAGTCCCAAACCAAGGGCTTTTTGCAGACAAAACGTGGAGGGTTGGGCACATAGCCTGGAAAGCTGGCTGGCGAGTCCCTGCCCCTTGGGGCTGGCAGAGCTGAGGACCATGCCTGGGACACAGAAGACTTTGAGAGGGTGTCACAGCCCCATGGCACAGAACAGGAGACTCGGGATAGGGACACGACCTTGCCTAGGAACCAGAGCTTCCAGGCTGTCAAGGCTTTTGACAGCACTGGGGATGAGCAGGTGGGGAGGGGCTCATAGCTGGAGGAGGGGATTCTTGCCTTTTTTCTTCCTCCCTTCTTCTCTCCTTCCTTTCTCTTTTTTCCGTGTATTTTACAGAACAAAACTTTGATTGCACTAAATCATAACAGCCAGGCACGTTGAGGGTCTCAGGCAGGGAAGGCGAAGATTACTAAGGAGAGGGAAAAACAATTTATGGCCCCCAGTCCTGGTTTGTCCCACAGCCCTTGTTCCAGGACACTCCAGCTTTGGGCCTTGGAGACCTTGCCCGTGCAGGGGCACCCAGAAGCGAGTTTGCAGAGTTCCGCGTGCGCCTGACCCCGTGCTCAGCAGCTGCCGGTGGCCTGCACGCCGTGGACATCACACTGCAACCCTCCCCCCACTGTCCTGCGCCTTTCGGGCCGGGGACCTGGCGTCGGGAGGGGGCGCCCGGGTTGGGAGCAGCTGCGCTCGCCGCTCTGCAGCGCCTGGACCCGGAGGCGCTCCGGTGTTGGTGCCATGGACTCGCAGTCCAGCTCCGGCGTCGGTGTCATGGACTCGCAGTCCAGCTCCGGCGTCGGTGTCATGGACTCGCAGTCCAGCTCCGGCGTCGGTGTCATGGACTCGCAGTCCAGCTGCGTCGTGGTGACCGGTAAGACTGAATTTCACTGCCTTCCGGTTGGCCTGATCCTGGTTGTAAACAGCCCCCAAGAGACAAAGCGCCACCACTTGGGGCGCTGAGATTTCCTGATAGCAGCGAACTTGCTGCTGGGTCCTATTAAAAACCAGGCAGGGACAGAGGCTTCCCGGCCTCTGTGGCTCATGCACCGCAGATAACTTGCGTGGCACGCATGGAGGTGCCCACTGGGGCTTAGGCACCGACCTTGTCTGTCCTTCAGCCCCTCGGGGAGGAAGCTGAGGCAGGCACCGGCTGACCCTGAGGCTGGGACCCGGTAGGCATACGTTTGGAGGCACATTCCATAGCAAAGAGGGACCTGCATGCTTGGAGAGGACAGGACACACCCCAGGCTGTCCTAGATCCCCTAGCATGACCAACTCCCAAGGCCCCATCCCTAGAATGACAGCTTTCCCTACAGTGGGAGCTCTGAAAGATTCCCTCCTCCGCTCCCTGGGCTGCCTCTGAACCCCAGGGGCTCAGCTTGGAAGAAAGGAGGGCTGCTCCGGGTCCCACCAACACATTCAAAGTCACTCCAGCTACAAACGCCTCACACAGCAGTGTCACGGTTGGTCCCTGCGGACTTACTTGATCCTTCTTCATAAATCTCTTTGTTTATTTTTAGTTAGATACTGAGCTCTTTATTTATTTATTTATTTAGCTCTTTACTTATTTATTTTCGTTAGGTACATTATAAGCCTGCCTGCCTTTTTTCTTTTCTTTTCTTTCTTTCTTTCTTTCTTTCTTTCTTTCTTCCTTTCTTTCTCTTCTTTCCTTCCTTCCTTCCTTCTTTTCTTTTTCCCAGTATTGGGGATTGAATCCAGGGCCTTTGCACTGAGCTATGTCCCCAGCCTGTTCCCCTTTTTTAATTTTTATCTTGAGTCAAAGTCTCACTGCATTGCTCAGGCTGAGCTCACACTTGCAATCCTGCTGCCTCAGCCTCCCACACGTGGGATCACAGGCCTGCGCCACCACACCCAGCTCCATTAGAGGTTTCTTGAGTTGTGCTGAGTGAAGAAGCAGGGAAGCCACATGGAGAGGATTCCTTCCTGGTAAAACTCATCTGTCTAAGTAGAAATTGTTGATCTTTAACATTTTCAGGCTGTAAATTCAGTCTTGTCAACCTTCGGAAGAGAAGAAAAATCCCGTGAATCCTTTTGCGCTCCCTGGCTCTCCTGTATGTTATTTTGGCATCAGGGACTGAGTGGCTCACAGGACACTGGAATTCCTAAGGAAACCGAGCTCTTCGTCGATGTCAGGAATAGCTGCGGTCCTCAGAGAGCCCTGGCCCCTCTTGAGTCCCCCTGACCCTTGCCACTGTCTTTCCAGCCTGCAGTTTGCTGGCCGACTCAAGTGGTGTGAGGAGTACCTACCTGATGCTCAGCCGCAGTTTGCAAATGCCCACTGGGTCTCAGAGCACAGCCTCGTTCATTGGAAGGTTCTGAGCTGCCAGGGGCAATCTCTTTACTTAACCGGATTTGCTTCAGGTGCTAATCTCACCAAGACATTGACAGGGACACGGATGTGGGAGAGCCAGGGCCTGACACGCTGCCTCAAGATGGAGGTGTGGTGAGCGACACCAACAATCACAGTGAGAGGCTCAGCACGCCTGCATCCTCCAAAGAGCCACCCTGCTTCCAGAGATTTCTTAAGCAGCCTTTGCCAAGTCCCACTGTGGGTCAGTGAGCACAGGTCCTTAGCTGTACCCCAGATAAAGCTATGTAATAGATTGCTGCCTGTGTCTGCAGACCACTCTGAGACCAGTGCCCCAGTCTGTCAAAGGCCCATCTTACAGTGGCTGGCCTCCTTCATGGGTAGTTTAAAAAGTTTTTATTTTAAAATAATTACAGATTCAAAAGAATCTGCAATGAAGTGTATACGGAGAGATCCTCTGTACCCTTTCCTAACCCCTCCTGACGTTCACATCTTCAGTGTTGAAGCCAGGATATTGACCCTGGTGTAAGTCACTGTGTGTGTGCATGGGGACACGTGTGTGTATGTGCAGAGACGTGTGCATACAGCTCTCCACAATTCCATCACACAGGTAGCTTCCTGCGACCACGGTCACAATCAACACACACAACGTTACCCTCGCCACAAGCTCCCCGCTGCCACCATTTATAGCATCACTGGCTCCCCTTTCCCAGCGGTAACATCTGACAAGCATTAATCTGTTCTTTGCCTCTGTAATTATCGTATTTTATAAATATTACATAATGGGAATCAGTCCTTTGGAGATTGGCTTTTCTTTACTCCACATAACTTTTGGAGGTTCATCCAAGTTCTTGTTTGTTATCAAGAGTCCATTCTTTAAAATATTTACTAGCTTTCTAGAGATAGAATTCACTGTTATGCAGTTCACTCGCTTCAAGTGTGTGTACTTCGGTAGCTTTTTGTATCTTCAGAGGTAAGCGTTCATTGTCACCATCAATTATAGAACAGACTCAGCACCCCAAAAAGAGATCCTGGTCCCCTTAGCTGTCAAGGCCAATGTCGCTCAGCACACACACAGCCCTCTGCAGCCCCCAGCTTACTTCCTGTCTCTGTGGCTTTGTCTGTGCTGGACATTTTATACAAATGCAATCATACAAAATGAGGTCTCTTGGGACTGGCTTCTTTCACGTACCATGTGTTCATATTTTTTCCATGTTGTAACTTGTATTAAGAATTCATTTCCTTTTTAGTGCCAGAATATTGCACTGTGTGGATTATATCACATTTCGTTTTCCACTCATCAGTTACTGGACATGTGGGTGCTTCCCATTCTCTTTCTTTCTTCTTGCTGTTGAGTAGTATTCCGTGGCATGGATGAGCAATAGCTTGTTTAACTGTTATGCCACTGAAGAATATTAGGGGAGGTGCCAGCCTTGGAACTACTGCAAAGAAAACTTCTGTGAACATTCCTATCTAAATTTCTATGTGAAAACCAGTATTCATTTTTCTGAGATAACTAGTCTAGGTGTGCAAATACTAGTTAGTCCACTTTCCAAAGTGACAGGACCATTTTACACTCCCAACAGCAATATGTGCATGACCTAGCTGCTCCTTGTCCTCACCAGCATTTGATGTGATGAGTATTTCTGGTTTAGCCACCCTGATAGCTGTGCAGTGATGCCTCAGGGTGGTTTTCAATTGCATTTCCTTAATGGCTAATGCTGTTGAATATCTTTTCATGTGTTAATGTGCTAATATCTTCTTTGATGAAAAGCTTATGTCTTTTACCCATTTTCTAATTAGATTTTTTTTTTTGTCTTTTTTCCTCTTTTTTTATCGGTACCAGGGATCGAACTCACGACTGCCTGCTTGCAAGGCAGGCGCTTATGGCACTGAGCTAAACCCCAGCCCCTAATTAGATTGTTTTAAAATTGACCTTTGACCATTCTGTATACAATACATTCTGCATAGAATGCCTTATTGAGATAGGTGGTTTCTATTTTCTCTTGTTCTGTAGCTTATCTTTTTATCTTTTCAATACAGTTGTTTGCAGAAGAATGCTTAATATTTTTATTCTTTTTCCTTTTTGGTACTGGGGATTAAACCCAAGGCCATGTGGATGCTTCACCATTCAGCTACACTTTGGCACCCAAAGTTTTAAATTGTGATGGGGTCCAATTTGTCAGTTTGTTTTTTATACATAGTAACTTTTGTCTCAAATCTAAGAATGCTGCTTAGCCTCAGCTTCCAAAATCCTATAGTTTTAATGCTAGCATACAAACCCATGATCCTTTTTTAATTCACTTTGTATAAGCTGTGACTTGAGTTGAGAGGTCATGTTTTTTTGTCCTGGCACCCAATTGCCCCTGTGCCATTTTTCACCAAAGCTGTCCTTCCTCTATGGAATTACTTTTGCACTGCTATTGATAAGCAGTTGGGTACATTCTTGTGGGTCTGTCTCTGCTTCTCTACGGAGCCTGCATTTCAGTCAGATATTGCACACACACATTCCTAACCCTCCCAGTGATGGGACCTCCTTTCTGCAAAGGCTCACAGCAGGACTCTGAGATGTCCCCAGAATGGCAGGGCTGCAGGAGTACCCAGATCCTGAAATGGCCTGAGCAGCAGTCAGAGGTTCTTGCAGTGGTGCATCCTGACTGGAGCAAACCAGGGTGCCTTTGGTTTCAGGTTTCGGGCCCTTCCGGCAGCACCTGGTGAATTCCAGCTGGGAAGCAGTGAAGGTAAACTCTGTACCTGCTCCCTTCTGTCCCCCTCCCACACAAGCTGGTTCCTTCTGGGATTGCTGAGAAATCCTAGCTTGTAGGACCCTTGGTAACCAGCGCCACACAGAAAGGAATACAAACACTTCCGCAGGCCCCTGGGGGAATGGCTTGTCCCCAGTCCTTGGGCTGTGTCTTACCTTCCTGCTGATGCTCCTCCTGCTTTTGTGATACAACGAGAAGGTGAAAGGGACCCTCCTGTGGAGGGTGCACCAAGGCCACAAGGCCTTATCCGGACCTGGGCTTTATTACCCACACTCCTGGTTGTGGGGCATTGGCTTCCTCACTCAGGAGGGGGGAAAACAGTTCTGGAGCTGGGAGACTGATCTGAGGCTACAAAGAGCTAAGTATGCAAGGCAGCTTTGTTGAAACGTTGTGCCTGGCCCGGGACCAGCACTGAAGGAATAGCTATCAGTACAAACAGCGCATTTTTAGTAAGGAAGTCACTGACTCAGGGACAGGCCGTGAGGGGCGCTGGGACTCCCCTCTGCAGGGCGACCTGCCTTTTCTCTTTAGCGTGATCATCCCCATGTGGGTGTCACTTAGAGGCTCCTGCTACTGACAGCTCTTTATTCTCACTTAACCTTCAATTTCATGCTTCTGTTGGATCAAGCAAAAGGTGGGGTCTCTACTCTATTCCCAGTTTCCTAGCCAAGCCGAAAATGTAACAAAACCACTAAGTCATGCCCTTGTAGCAACTGTGGCATTGATTTTCTAGCCTGTCAGCACAGATGCAGTCAGGAGACTGTTGATTCTAGAGTT